CTGGACTGTTTTGGACCAGGTGGCTCTGCAGCTTACCTGGCTGCTTCTTGCTCTGACTGAGGGCTGCTGGGAGCAGGGGGTGGGGCTTGTTGCATGTGCCCGCCCCCTGGGCTCTTTACTGCCGGAGCTCCGCTCCCGTGTGCTCCTGCAGGAAATGACCCCTGCACACGAAAGGGATTGAGGTGGAAATGAGGGAGAATCCTGAAATGTGGGAGTGGGCTCCACCTCTTCAGACTGCGGATGGAGGACCAAGGGTTTTCAGATCTTTACAGGGTCTCCTGTATTAGAGTCTCCTTGCAGACAGACAACCAGCTCTGCCAAAAAGGGAGAATGGAAGGTTTCTCCATACAGTGCTCATTTTGGTGTAGTGCCAGGTTTGGTGTAGAAGAAAAGGAGAGATTGGATTTATACCCTGCCCTTAACTACCCAAAGGAGTCTCAGAGCAGCTTACAATCTCCTTTCCCTTCCCCTCCCCACAACAGACACCCTGTGAGGTAGGTAGGGCTGAGAGAGCTCTCTCGAGAACTGCCCTTGAGAGAACATCTCTGTGGGGAATCAAACCCGGTTCTCCCAGATTAGAGTCCGCGCTCCTAGAGCCAGTTTGGTGTAGTGTTTAGGAGTGTTAGGACTCTAATCTGGGAGAACCAGGTTTGGTTCCCCACGCCTCTACATGCAGCTGCTGGTGTGACCTTCGGTCAGTCACAAGTTCTCTCAGAGCTGTTCTCTCAAGGGCAGTCCTCGGAAGTTTTTTCTCAGCCCCACCTACCTCACAGGCATAGTGATGAATTATCAACATTGTGTGTTTTTGGGATTTCCCCACAAGGAAATATTTGTATGCCAGGTTTATTTGTCCCCTTTGTGTCCTACACAAGTCAATTTATTCGTCTCCTGAACTTTTCTGTTTGGTGCGAGAGCCAGTTTGGTGTAGTGGTTAGGAGCATGGACTCTGCTACTGTGACCTTGGGCCAGTCACAAGTTCTCTCAGAGCTGCTCTCTCACAAGCAATTCTCAAAAGAGATCTCTCAGCCCCACTTACCTCACAGGGTGTCTGTTGTGGGGAGGGGGAGGGAAAGGAGACTGTAGGCCGCTCTGAGACTCCCGTCTGGTAGTGAAGGGCGGGGTATAAATCCCATCTCTTCTCCTTCTTCTTTTACCTCACAGGGTGTCTGTTGTGGGGAGGGGAAGGGAAAAGAGTTTGTGAGCCGCTCTGAGACCCCTTTGGGTAGTGAAGGGCGGGGTATAAATCCAATCTCTTCTTCTTCTTCTTTTACCTCTCAGGGTGTCTGTTGTGGGGAGGGGAAGGGAAAGGAGTTTGTAAGCCGCTCTGAGACTCCCGTCGGGTAGTGAAGGGCGGGGTATAAATCCAATCTCTTCTTCTTCTTCTTTTACCTCTCAGGGTGTCTGTTGTGGGGAGGGGAAGGGAAAGGAGTTTGTAAGCCGCTCTGAGACTCCCGTCGGGTAGTGAAGGGCGGGGTATAAATCCAATCTCTTCTTCTTCTTCTTTTACCTCACAGGGTGTCTGTTGTGGGGAGGGGAAGGGAAAGGAGACTGTAGGCCGCTCTTAGACTCCCTTCGGGTAGTGAAGGGCAGGGTATAAATCCAATCTGTCTCTCTTTCTCTCTTTCGGTTTGTGTGGAGTTTTGTTTTGTTTTTTAAATCGAAGGACTGTTAAAAGCTGGAATTGATCAGCTGCAGTACTAAGTGACGCAGTCTATTTGACCACCTCTGCATTCTGCCTCCTCAGTCTTTGGCGTGTGTCAACCAGGCCTAGGTCCCAGGCAATTGATAGAAATCAGGAGACAGGAGCCTTTTCCGTGGGACGCTGGGGCTGTCGTGTCAATCAATCAACAAACGGCTAAGCTGTCCCTCTGTCCCTGTTCCTGAAGAAAGAGGCCCCTCAAAGTGCAGAGTCCCAGTCAGCTTCCTCAGTTGCCCCTCCGGTTGGTCCGTCCCCCAAGGCCTGGAATGATCTGTTGTTCCCAGATTAGCGGGAGAGTTCGTTTTTCTCACCACACTGTTGTTTCGGTCTCCACTCTTGCACGTGCCCAAGCTCAGACGTGGGGATGGTTTTACAGTTTGGCTCTGCTTTGATACGGTGTGCAATTCTGGTCACCACACCTTAAAAAGGATATTATAGCTTTGGAAAAAGTGCAGGAAAGGGCAACTCGAATGATAAAAGGGTTGGAACACTTCCCCTATGAGGAAAGGTTAAGGCGCTTGGGGCTCTTTAGCTTGGAGAAACGACGACTGAGGGGTGACATGATCGAGGTTTATAAGATTATGCATGGGAAAGAGCAGGTAGGGAAAGAGGTACTTTTCTCCCTTGCTCACAATACAAGAACTCGTGGGCACTCCATGAAACTGCAGAGCGGTCGGGTTAGAACGGATAAAAGGAAGTACTTCTTCACCCAAAGAGTGATTAACACATGGAATTCACTGCCACAGGAAGTGGTGGGTGCTACAAGCATGGACAGCTTCAAAAGGGAATTAGATAAGCATATGGAGCAGAGGTCCATCAGTGGCTATTAGCCACAAGGTATAGCTAGGGGCTCTGGGGCAAGTGATGCTCTGTCTTCTTGGTCCTTGGGG